TTATTGACAAAATACTTTACCTGCCACAAACAGGGTCAAGTAATATGCCAATTAAAGGGCTGCATATCCTTTTGCGCCTGTGTTAACTGCCATTTTGTAGTTCGAAGTTAATGAGAGAGGAACTTAGGAGAAATTTGTACCTCTTTGAATTCTTTGGGAAAGTAAGTAAAAGTATATCAACAAAGCAAATGATTCTCAAAAAGTATACCAAACTTAGAACTACCTTCCTTTTTTTAACATTGTGCTATAATCCGGTTATTAATGACACTGGGAGTGAGAGGCGAAAGGGAAAAGCCAGAAAGTGAAGGAACGGGAACGCTGACGAAGTTTGTTTACTAAATATTAATTGCAAAATTCCAGTATCAGTGAAAACCATTTTGAAGTATAATTTGTGTTCAAGAAAAGTAAAAGGGCGATTACTCCAAAATTACGGAAATTGACAACTATTTCGAATCTATGGCGTGATTTTGCAGAATAAACTAAGAATTTTAAAATTATGAGCAAAGTCTTACTATGTTTTGCTCACAGAGTAGTGACCTTAAAAGTATCTAACGCGTTCTCTCTCTCTCTCTCTCTCTCTCTCTCTCTCTCTCTCTCTCTCTCTGTGTCAGTTATGATGAGGTATAGTTTTAATTGTTATGTTATCTCATAAACTCTCGCAAACATTTTGGCTAGAAGGTATGCGCAGTCTTGCAAACGAGGAAATTTCGAGATTTCCAGAATGTAACATTCGTAGTCCTATCTACAGAAGTTGACGAACTCGACTATATGGACTCGATCAAAGATAGTTTACCATAGTGCCGAGAGACTAATAGAATTTATGACTTGATGATAAGCATGAAGTCACGGACCATATTTATCTTTATGTATTATTATTTTTTTTTTTTTTTGCTGCAGAGAGAGAGAAAGCGAGAGACAGAGAGAGACTTTTAATGCTAACAGCGTCATATTTTATTTTCACTTAATATATTTATTATTAATAACTTGCATATAAATGACCGCAATAAGATTGAGACAGCACGCTGCATGTGCACACTCATGAAGACACCGCAGCGAAACAAGTGAAAAAATAATAAAACCAAGCGATATCGATGCAAATAGTTTCCACTCAATTAACCACAAGAAGAAGCAGCAATATGAGACTTCGAATGCACTTCAAATCTATCTGAACGCTGCGACTGTCACACTCCACCGCAGCGCAGGATACAAAGCAGCGTGGCATGCAAAAGCGGAGAGAAGGGGTCCCAAAGCTGTAATGTGGCGAGCGCCTGCAGCGAAGAACAACAATGTCTTTGAGATTCAGCAAGAGTGCAAAAAGCAATATACACACGATGTACGGACGTGTTCATGTGCTCGACACCACTATAAACGTCACAATCGTGCAACGTGATTTGTATTACTACTTAGCTACGCTGCATACGCATGCGCATCCTGTCTAGCTCCAGCAAGCTCCAGCACTGGGGCACAGTAACCCGTCTAAACTTGTGAGGGTATTGTGTTTACATTTCGTGCTTCGTTTCCCAGCGCAAACACACAGCTTTCCAAGCATACTTACAGACGCGCACGCCGCCTTTTGCTTTGTAAGTCGGCACAATGCAATCGTGCGCGTGTGTGTGTATGTGTGTCGCTCGAACACGTCACTATTTAAATGCAACGTTAAATTTGCAATTGAAATGAAATCGTTCGCATGCATCTTCAGCGCGCTCCAGAGTACACAATCGTGCCAATGTCAAAGACGCTTTCGGCATTTTCTTATTGCCAGGCGTCTCTGTGCTCGAAATCGACGTTGACAAAAGACTTTCGATTACTTCTGATTGCCTGCACTCAAGGTGACATCCAGCATTGTTGTGTGCCGGAGGTGAACGTTAGGCAGGCGGCGTGTGATGGAGACGTCTTTTCGTAGCCAAAGAACAGGAGAAATATAAAACTAGACGGAGCTAAAGGTCAGAGGGTTAAGACGATATTCAATTTGATGTTTTTGAACTGCAGACAGCACATTTTTTAAGCATTAAAATGGCGCTGTAGTCGTCGAGGGCGAACATGCAGTCCCCTTGAGCTCGACATGTTCATTTGTCTGAGACACATGGTACAAGAAGTACTGTGACACATAACTTTCTATTAGAGCCTTATTGCCGCTTAAAAGGGAAAATAATTTGGCTTCTCTATTAAATCACAGTATAACTGACATATCTGACCACACTTTAACGAAGAAAATTCTTTAAATCTACACACGTGAAAACGACGGTCTATTTCTTTCGAGAGCGTAGCTTGAAATATTAGGTTATCAAAAAGTCTTGCGGTATTTTCGCTAGTAGGCGCTCAGAGCGCGTAGTTCTGGAACTATTCGTCGCATCGGGTCATGCTATACCTTTTTGGAAAGCTCATTTCACGCGCTAACACGTGTTTGATTGATTGTAGTTTCTCTTAAGTCGTTCGTGAGTTATAGTGTCGCAAACATGGAGCAAAATAAAGAGAAAATACGGCATATTTGACAGTACTACTACAATAAATGAAAAAATGCATCTCAAGCCGCCAAAAAAATGTGTGCAGTTTATGGACCCGATACAGTTTCCATTTCCACCGCACAACGAGGGTTTCAACGTTTTCGTTCTGGTGTAGAGGTGGTCGAAGATGCGCAACGTTCCGGAAGGCCTGTCGTCGAAAATTGCGATAAAATCGCTGAATAGGTCGAAAGAGGCCGGCATAGTAGCAGTCGTAGCATCGGTCAAGAGCTGGGCATGAGTCATCAAACCGTTATAAAATAAAAAACTAAAATAAATAAAAATACCGCAAGACTTTTTTGACAACCTATCATTATTTTGTTACCTTGGTGACCATAATGATATTTCGCGATCTATAAATGAGGATGTGGAAGTGGACTTTGATGGGTTCCGTGAAAATCGCACGTCAGTTTGGTTTTCTTCACAAACTAAAGACCCGCAAGTTTGGGAATTAATTTTAGAAGCCCAATACAACAGTTTGTGCCCAAAATTTGTTAGAAATTTAATTCATCCATTGTTGTTGTGCCGGCATTCAAAATTACTCCCATCCGAAGCGCTTGCAGCCAAATCGTTAATTATCCTTCAATAACAATGAACGAATTTATTACAACAAACACACTTTTAATAATCGCTTAAACGGGAGTTAATCTACAATATTACCGTTGAATGCATAAATTCTTGAACAATAATTGGCGTCTGAATTATGACTGTTTTTGAATAAAAGCAATAACCTTTAAGCCGGTCTTAAGGCCAAGCACAAGCGATAAAACTCGGAGCAGCACACACACACAAAAAATATTTCAACGGAAAACAACGAGATTGCATAACAAATCGCAGCGGCAGATTGGCAACAAAAACTGCTTGAAATTCGCACGACCTACCAGCGAACATTTCTGTTTTGGCCTTTGATTTCCCAGCTGCTTTGATAAGTACTTCAAAGGATTAAAAGTAGGCTGGTGCAAGGCTTGGGAAGGCACCGGTGGACGGCGGTAGGAAGATGCGCCATGCGCGCTGAAAACAACGAACTTGCCCCACAGCCGTAAAATAAATTTCCACGCGGCTGCTGGTTGGCAAAGTCATGGACGTCGAGTCAGCCAGCTAAGTGGCCAATGTCTTCCCAACAACATGGACTCCTTCACAGTGGCCTGGCGTCTTGTTTCAGTGCTGTGAGGGAGATAGGCCAAAGCGGAAACGTTGCAGACACATTTTCAAAAGGAATTTGTGGCAGAGCACAAAAGACTCGTGCCGACAAACCGTCTTTTGCAGAAGGGGTGTGGCTGAGTGAAGGAGTTATTTCGCGGTGTATGTGCAATATCTGTTCTTCTCGGTTTTGTATTAGCCTAAAGTCTAGTATTCTCATCGCAATCGCAGTGGTTGCTACACAAGTCATCGCTCAGAGGCGGATCCTGAAGGGTTGAAATGTAAAATTGTCTAAATTAGTTCCGAAACGCAGAAAATATTCGAGCTATGAGAAGTAAAACTGTCAATTTCTCTAATCCAACACCACTTACTAATCCAGATAGTTCGACTACGGCTATTGTAGGATTTCAAAACGGCAGCATGCAAGGAAATTTATATTCTCAAGCTTTATTTTTCACCCATGCTTGCGCCCCTGATATAACTTAAAGAAACGCCTCTGTAAAACCGAGTTGCATACCTCCTACATACCAAAACTTTGCAAAAACAGTTGTTTTAATACAGCATTCCTTTGCTGCGACATGAAGTTAGAACTGAAACAGGATAAAGAAATTCATTGAGAACTAGAATTCGTTGAAAATTGAATTGGCAGCGGTGTTAATGTCGAAAGGAAATACACCAGACACCAGTCTGGCCAACGTTTATATCTGGTCAAAGAAATAAAAAGAGAGGATATTCAGCGTTGATGTAATGGAAAAGTTTACTTGCGGTTTCAGGAATGGTAAACTTTACAACTTCAAATGTCAAGAACAAAGACGAATTGAGCACTGGTAATCTATTGTTTGGAATCAATTGGACATTTAAACATTGACTCCGAGAATTTACAAGTTTTGGATGAATTAGCAACAAATATACCAAGCAAAGTTGTAGAATAGTAAGAGAAACGTTAATTCTCGAGGATATTTGCAGCACTCAATTTCCTAAGGTTATATCATAAATAAATATAATTGTTTTATATCTACGCATAATGCACATACATATGCATATATATATATATATATAATTCACTAACATTTAACATAAACCCTCATATCCCGCAAAACTAACAAATTACCCCATTTGTACGAAATATCCCATATTACCTTGGATATGCAACACATAAGGCCTAAGAGAAGGAAATGTGAACACTGGTAGAAATCCACCTCAGAATTCACCACTATATGTAAACGCCGAAGTGCCGCTAAACAGCTGATAAAACGTAAACAGGCTAAAGCAGCTGTAGTCCAAATTGATTTGCTAACAAATTTTAAATTGGAACTAAAATATATAAATACAGTTCTAATTGATCAGAAATAATAATATTAGGACGTTTAACAAAAATGTGCAATTAATTCAGTGTAATATCTTAAGTTGTCAATAAATTAATTAGCAAATACAAGAGAAAACAATTCATGAAGGCGCCACTTGTTGCCGGTAATTAAGAAATAGTGGAAGTGTTTTTGATTTCAAAACTATTCATACATAAGTATTTAAAACGAAATGCATTTATAAATTTTAAAGAATAATGCTTTTCAACACTACGTATACCTAGTGGATATTAAAAAGTAGGAAGTAAAATTGGATATTTTAGCACGCTCAGTCATTAAACTATAAAGCAAACGTAGATGCTGCAGTTACCCATTCCCTTCTTGATTAAGTCGTCGTGTTAATTCAAGTTATTATTCGTACATTGCCCTACAAGTAGTTTAAGTGTGGCAAATAGTTGCATAAAAAATCGGAAAAACTGTTCCTTAATTTGCAAACCACATTAACCAATACAGCGACCACCACGGGCGTCAATGCCACAGCCAATGTGAAGCAGTTACGTCAACAAAAGCGCTTCAAAAGTTTACAACTTTCCTGCAATATCAAATTGTAACGCTATACCAGTATATCGCTTTGTTCATTTGGAGCAAAAACTTTTGTAAAATAGCTATAAAAAATTGCAAATAAAGGACGAGTGCACGGCAAGTGCAACTGCAACTATAATAGAACTTGTGTATATTTGTACATATACTAGCTGCATAAACTTGTGCAGGTTTAGCCATAAAATACGAGTAAAATGCAATTTGTAGAAAAGCTAAAAACTTTTATTTTGAATTAAACAAAATAAAGTTCACAAATATTATGTCATATACAATCTGCGGAGTAGATTCCACAAGTGAGTTTCAGTCAGTTAACCAGACAGCAGTTGACATTGTATGGACAACTTTCAAACAACCAACTATGTACTTGCATAATTTCAACTTTTATGTGTTGAATTTAAATTACTTCTCAGAAAACTGTTGTGCGGGTTATTGCTGACCGTTTCCTTATATATATATATATTAATTTAAAATTTAAATTCTACATGTGAAATATTTCCTTAAATTCTTATATGTATGTACACATATTAAAAAGCACAAATTTAAATTTTAAATTACAAATCGCCTGTCATTTTCAAAAGTTTTATATTTCAGCCAACATTCGTTTCGTGGTATGCAATTCGAAGGGCACTTAACATAATTTGTCGACGGACATGGAAGCGCATTGCACACCATGTCCACCTAATCTGTTTATCTACAAGATAAGCTCTGGCTATGAATCTGACGCTTAATACAACAGAGTATAACAAGCCATACGAAAAATAACAAGAATTACACAAAAAAGGCAGCAATAACAAAATTAAAACTTTTCAATCCGCACACAGACGAGTTGTTTTTTGACAAGTGATATAACTGCGGTTGCAGTTGACCAGCTTCTCCCTACTGTTCCGGCTATACGCTATCAACGGACATTCAGCTGAACAACTTTATCCAAGAACGGGGTGAAGCGCAACAAAAGATGGCAGCAAACACCAACATTGCCACAACCGACATCAACAAGCAAGGCGAACGGCCACGGGACAGCACCCGCATGACGTTTGTTGCCGGCTCACCAGCGCCACCGGCATCGTCAACATCAGCCTCGCCACAACGAAAGCGAAATCAAGAACAATGCTCTACGAAAATATTGCAGGCACTACTGGGTATTGCAGCGCAACCGCAAGGGGTGGCACAATCGGACGAGCCGGAATCAGAGGCAACGCTAAACCAGCAGTGGCATATGGAATTGAGCCAAATTGAGTTGATCTATCGCGCGGAGGGTAATGCAAATTTGGTGCTAGCATTGCCGCAATTTAAAAAAGTTTTGCGTCTGCCAAAAACGTCGAGACTGCCGACAACTAGCCGCAGCAACAGTTCCAAATATAACGAAATGAAAATTGGTAATACACAACAGCTAACGGATGCGAATGTGGCGAAGGGGCGGCAAGTGTCCGACAAAGAGTGGCAGCAACATCAACAACAACAACAAGAACAACGGCAAACTCAAGAAATGCAATTGCAACATCAGTCAGAACAGCAAAAACATCAGGAGGTAGTCCAAAGTGCTTCCGACCCGGCTGTAAATCAAAATGCAAAAGGTTAGTTTTTGTGGCAGGATATTATGTGGTGCGCTACTGTGTCCTGATGGTGGCGTTATCGACCCGCACAACCAGCAAAGCGCCATCAACACTATGTCCATTGTTGTTGTGCTAGCAATATTGCTTGGGCAGCAAAGACACACTCACACATACATACATACATGCATTTAGAGACATAAACAGCTCAGCATTACAGCGTGCTGTGGCATTTGCTGCTGCCGCTGTATTGTTATTTCTGTAGTGGCGTAGAAATGTTTGTTGGCAAAACTTGGCACGAATCTCTGACGAAATGTGTTTATTTCATTTATTTGTTATAAAATTCCATTGGCTACGCCACTTGCAATCGCCACTGGTAGCAGCTGTGCTCCGTGCCAGATTTTGCCGTGCACTAAGCCATCTACATAAATGCTTTGACTGCTGCTGCGCATAGTTTTCATTGCTGGTCATTTTATTGTTGGCTAATTTATTTCAAATTGTAACCGCAATTGCAGACTTGACAATGGAGGATTTCGTAGCTTACATCGAGGTAATACGAAAACTACTTGGTAGCGAGTTTGTATTCGAGACCGAGATTGTGCGGATAACGGCAGAGAAGGACATACGCTGTATAAATGAACGGATTCGTGCGGATCGACCAGGTGAGTTGGCGGGCGGGTAAGCAATTGAGTAGAGACAAATAGGAAAGGTAATAAATTTTATGGAGATTTGCTATGTACACGTTATATTAAACATTTCTATGCCTTTTCATTTATGTATATGTATATAACGTTGTAAATGTAGGAGGATGAGCTGATTTGCGTGCAAATTTCGCAACTTTATTTTCTAAGAGTTTTATGTTGCAAACTTTGCGCAGTCAAGCTTTGTTTATGCGGTTTGTGCAGAAGATATGCGAACAAAAATTGTATTTAAATTAAATTTCGAAAAAATATCTGTAATATATTTTAAGTATAGAACAACTTTAAACTTTGTCGTCACGATATTGCTTATCTCAGCAGTTCCTTACTAAATTATCATGGTGAATAGATTTGCTGAAATGGTAAGTAGGTTGGTAGAAAGGCTATCTGATGATGAACTTAKGCACCCTAGCGCAGCTTCGTTCTGGATACTGTAGCAGGTTAAACTCCTACTTGTCCAGAATGCCTTGCCAACCCCCACTAATTTAACACTCCCTTCCCTTTGGTCCGACCCCGTCGAAACAACATTATCCACGTTAACCCTTACCATCCCAACGGGGATTGATATACCGTTAAAACAACAACAACAACGTACTTAGGTCCTTAGGAAGATCTCTCCATCGGTTCTTTTCTGAACCACCCCGTGTCTCCGATAAAGAGTATCAGTCCATAAAATTTTATTTGTACAACGGACCTGGATTTTTAACTAGCCAAGAACTGTCAACTCGGCACCATTCCAATAACAACAAATCTTTCCCATTTAGTATCCTTCACTTCTATCTCCTGACAGCTTCTCAAATAGTCCTTATATATTGCTTATTATACAGGGTACCCTTGGCACTCCTACTATATTTCTTATATCATTCCTTTTAAGTTTTAATAGTCGCCATGTGCGGCCCAGATTCCATACATGTCACGTTTGCCTGCTTAATGAGCAAGTCAGATATTGCTTCCACAGAGACTCAGCTATCAATAAAATCTTTGTCGATTAAACACCTGAAAGTAACCAGAGAAAATCGGGTCAAAACCGGTAACCTGAAACCGGTTGTTGTGGGAATTGTACCGACATAAAAAAGATATGTCCTGCATACAATGAGCTCCCTTAGTAGACTAATCACCTCCTTACATGCCCCATGAAACCAACTCAACTCTCAAATCTTCGAAACAGCCTGTTCCCTGGGCCTCCCATTGTAGAATCCTGATGGCAATTTTATTACGCTTTACGAGGGCTTTAACAGGGTTTAGACAACAGTTACAAAAACTGCAACACCAAGCTATAGCGCCTATAACTATGCAAACTTAAAAGAATGTAAGCTTATTGTTGTTGTTTTGCTAAGGACTAATCTCTCTTTAATACCCCTTACCCTGCATACAAATACACTTCAATGCAGTTTGTTTTGCTACGAACTTTCCAGAAGAAAAAAAACAACATTTCCACAGAGTTAGCACATACGCCATTTGTTATTGTTGGATTTTTGTGCTGCATCATTCCAAAGCAATACTCTTTTCAATTTCCACAGGATTGTTATATAGCAGCAAGCTGTAATGGAACCAAACCACCGCCTTAGTGTTGCACGAATTTTGCTGCACTGGCACATTTTATTGTGCGTCACTTGCCACACCGCACGCCTGCCTCCCACCCTCCTTTCTGACAGTCATTGGATTTCGGCTATTATTGCTGCCACAACCTTGCTGCCCCACATCCCCCGTGCCAGCAGCAGCGCATGCAATCGATCATAAAATTCTTCTATGCACTTCGGCACACCGACGGGCTTCAGGATCATAAGCGCTCAATGCAGTGGAGTCACAGTGTGAATGATTGTGGCATTATTGCAGCTGCACATTGTAGCTTATTGTTGCCTCCCATTCGTTTCAATTTCATAAGGCATTCTTTACGACACACCAAACTCACCGGGCGATAAAGGGCCATGATGGAAGAGAGAGAGACAGAGAGGTGATAATGTTAGGTGCTGTTTGCGAGGCGTTTGGGGCATTCCCAGCTGACTTATTAAGCGTTTTAGTACACGCCAACCGAACAATGACAACTAACAGCTGGTGCAAAATGCCGCACGCTGGCGGCTGGGATGACGCTTGAGATGGATGGCAGTGGTGTGCTGCAGCAGGCGGTCATGTGGTGTGAGTGACACACGTGGTTGCTGCAAACCTAATATTTCAACAATGTTAGCTTTGTTGTGCTCGCTGGCGCTGTGTAAATAGTACACATTCAGTGGGTTTAGCTGTAGCCATAAAGTAAATGCGTCCATATTGTGCAATATCGTAGTAAAATGCCCATTTCCTTAAGAATGTAGCACGCCACTCAGCACTCACACCGCTACGTTCATTTCAGCATTTTCATCAATTGCATTTTTTTACTATATTCTCCCTTTTATTTTCTTTTCTTTTCTTTTCTCTTTCATTTCGATTTTCCTGTGCTCGGCGCTGGAACTACCCACACACACATCGTCCCGTTGGCGCTGGCGCTTTTGCAGCTTATCGTCGTGATAAAGAATTTTGTGGGGAATTCGGTTTGCTGCTGCCAGATGCTACACGCTTACCAATAGCATTCGATATTTTACTTTCCAATTTGCAGGTGAGTTTGGCAGCGCTGCCGTTAGATGAATTATGATGGTGTTCAGGTGTAATGCTGTTGCATGGAATTCCTCACACATACACACACATACAAAGCTATGTAAATGCCTGGTAAAAGCGCACCTCGATTGCATCAGTGTTCAGGTGTTTGTTGTTGCCAGATCCACTCTCGGTGGGTATTGATTATAAATACTGTTTTTTGTTATATTTTTTGTTGTTTTTGGTGTTCATAGAACTACACCAATTTCGGCTTCTTTATTGCGCCATCGGTGCAACGTGGCCATGCAACAGTGGCAATAAATCATCGCACTCATTTTTCTCTTTAAACCGGAGAACAGCGGACCCAGTGGTTTATAGTTCGAACTAAAAAACAAAAAAAAAAAACATATCAGGCAAGATTTTTGTTCACAAAAGTGATCGTTAACCTGGTTTAGGAGCATATTTCGGTGCAACGAGCATTTTAGCAAATTTTTAATGGCTGTGCCATGGAATGAGTTGGCATTTTATTACACTGTGGCTTAACTTTTTTTTTACATAGTTTGGTGAAAACAAAAAATCGCTTTATTGAGCGTTTATATGTCGAAATCTATAAGCCAATTTATGGGCAAAAATAGCAATTTTCAAAAATTCCAGGTAAAGAATATTTGCGCACGACAATAGAGGCAACGAAAATTGAGACACTCCCTACGTTTTTCAAAATCTGTCTCGGCAAACTACACACAGGCCATATAAGGATTACTTCCGTCCATATTTATTTGCAGTTAAAAAAACTTAACACTAATTAACAGTAAAGTTAACAAAAAAGGCGGAAAGTAATATGTTTGATATATATGTAGGTATATATGTATAAGGTTTAGTATGATTGGTGGGCCGGTGGGATAATCGGTCCATATTTTTTCAAAAATGACACCGGTGAGAACGTAACCGTCAATTGGAACCTTTATCGCGCCATGATAAAAAACTATTTGATGCCTGAAATTGAAGCTCGTGATCTCGGTGGCACATCTCATCAAGCAATGGATTTATTGAGAGAACACTTCCGTGAACAGATAATTTCACGTTTTGGACCGGTCGATTGACTACCAAGATCGTGTGATATGACTTTTTCTGTTGGGAACGTGTAACGTGTAAACGGACCAACTCGCTACGATTCAGGCTCCACGCGTGTCATACGCCAGTTAACAGTCGAAATGCTGGAACGAGTCATCGAAAATTGGACTCAATGCACCGACCATCTGAGGCGTAGCCACGGCCAACATTTAAAAGAGATAATCTTCAAAAAATAAAAGCCAAAGAATGTTCTTTAAAATGATAATGAACATTCCTCATGAAATTTGCAATTTCTGTGTGTTTTTTTTTTTGTTTTTTTTTTTTTTTTTTTTTTTTTTTTTGTGTTTTTTTTTTTTTTTTTTTTTTTTTTTTTTTTTTTTTTTTTTTGTCTTTAAAAAAGTAGGTAACCTCGAAATGCGTCACCCTTTATATACTGTAAATTGAACAAATCGGAAGAAAATAAGTAGGCGTGGTGGAAGTCCGAATTCGTCCGAATTTTCACGTGGTGGTTGCAATTTGTATGATTTCATTTCCAAATTTGATACCGATTCCTATGAAGCCTTTTAATGTTGGATGTGAAGTTTAATGCGGCGACGTATTTAGTAGTAAGTTATCACACATTTAGTAGGTTTCAACATAACCAATATGTTGGGAGAGGGAGGAGTTATAATGCGATTTCACATTTTAAGGATAGCTTATATTAGTCCAGAACTTGACTTTGAAAATGGGTATTGGATTTTTTTTTTTTTTTGTTKTTTTTTTTTTTTTTTTAATACCAATAGATGCTTAAAAATGCTTCACAGAAAGAAATTTGATTTCCTTACTGAAATTATTGAATCTTCCTGTATATTTAGGTTACGTGTTTTTTGGGGGTCCATAACGATTAAGTAGGTTACTACTTAACTTGCTTTTTGAACAAAGTTTGCAAGGCCTTGGTTTTTCTTGTTTATGTTTTTTTTTCTTTTACTATGAGCTAGAGGCCGAAAGTCTATATCTATTCACCCTAAAGACGAAACGAAGGTTGGTATTAAACTTAACTTCTAGCAATTGAAAAATAGAGCAACTTATAGCCTTTAACTCCAACGTAGTTGGGCAGATCGTGCTGAATACGGAAAAGAGGGTTAATATTCCAATAGAGAATATCCAAAGTAGTTAATGATACATGAAAACCCATAACAATCAACAGTTAGTTATTAATTTATGGAACCGCTGCAGTAATTTTTATATCACTCCAATATGCATATCAGCTGGTTTACGCGCTTACATACTTCCTTTATGCGACTTTTGTATGTTCTTTTCGATTGCACATTAACATTTTTAACGCCACCATCGTGTGCAGCCAATTGAAAGCACAATAATTGTTTCCAATTTGAACTTGCTTGCACCGTTATGCACCGACTACCATTCGTACTTTTCATACTTATGCTATATAACTGGAATTTACGCCATTTACAACCACATATTTCTGTGGGTGTGTGTGTGTGTGTGCTCGTTTACTTTATGCACTTTATTGTTGATGCTTTCCAGCAGCAATTTCACATTTCACAGCAGACCCACAGTGCGCGGCAATTAACAATATGTTGTTTATTCTTCTCTTTCCATAAAACGTATAACGGAACACATGGCAAACAACAACACCCAAACAAATACGGCAATAAAAACGGCGTAAAATAAAAAATGCAATCGAAGGCGGAATTGATCGGCGACACATACGCCATCGAAATAAAACCGAAGCAAGGCTGGCTGCTACCCAGCGAGGTCGTCAGCAATTTATGCGAATTGGAGAAAGGGCCAGTGCTGGCCACAGCGACGGCAGCGTCGGCGGAGCAGCAGCAAGACAGCAAAGGGGCGGAGGGTGTGGAGGGAATGGCAGTGCCAGCGCGCAGCCACGTCGCAAGGTGTCGCTTCTGTGCGATGCAATTTCTGAAGGTAAGGCGGGCGAGCGCGCAACGTAAACGCCAGCGACAATGGCATAAAAAGCGCTGACGAGCAGCCACAACGCCAACAACGGCCGAAAGCGCAAAGGCGGTGGTAGAAAAATAATAACGGTTCAACAAAACACCGGCATACCGCAGCATTGCCGGCAAACAATTCCGTTTATTTCGCTTATTCCGTTTTCCATTGCGCGCACTTGCAATTGCCCGGAACGCCACGTGGTGCGGCACGTGGTATGAGCAACATTGCTGCCCGCGGTCGCGTTGCGCCGAGCGAGCGAAATTGTCATTGAATGCGCCGTGCTTTATTGCGCCACTGCTACGGTGATTCTACGCTTCTGCTTGGCTGCTGAAAAGCTGAAAAGCATTTCTTATGCAAATTCAGTCGTTGAACCGCAAACAGATTCCTGCTTTTTACTCCACGCTTCCGCCATGCATTTTTATGCGCTCGCCGTTGCTGGTGTGTGCATTCTCTATGTGTGTGTGCATGTATATTGGCGTGTTGCGCTTTTAATACTGCTTTTGTTTACGGCGCTTTGCTGCTCGTTTTTACTTCCGTCACTTTTTGCTGCTCTTATTCGTTTGCTCTCTTCCCTGCAGCTGCACACGGGCAAAATCAACAGGCGAACTTCTTATTGCCCGCTGGCGTTGTTTTCCGGGTAAGTTGTGCGGCATCTGCTGGATCTATTTTTTGAAATTCTTATGAGCACTAAGCGGAAGTTCCGAAGTATGTGCGTAAGCGGCTTTTGATTGTTGAATTATGCCGCAAAGTTTTTGTAGCGCAAACTCCTCATGCATAGTTAACAGAGTTTGCTATTTCTTATAATTGGTTTGCAATTGATTTCATTTCTGGTTTGCTTACTAATTCTTGTTTGTTGTCTTGTTTTCCTGAAGTGTTCCGACGCAAATGGTTACCGCCATCGATGCTCTGCTGCGGTGTCCGCAAAATAATTTACGAGTATTTCGTAACGGTATTTTAGTGTATGATGGCGAGAAGCATTGCTACGAAGATTTCGTGCAGAATATATTTCCCGGGTAAGTGCGCTTCTTTTGATTACTTATAATCACATTATTATTATTATGGAATATGATTCTGCAAATATGTGAGAAAAATTTATTATAAATATAAATATAAAGGGTTATCAATTTCGATATTCCCAAATTGTTTAAAGAAAAACGCATAAACTTGAAAATTAATGGGAAATGTTAATTATTATTCGGAAAAACTTTCTTGAACATTTATTTTTTAAAGATTATCTTTTTTAAATGTTGGTCGCGACTACGTCTCATATGGTCCAACCGTTGTCTCCAATTTTCGATGACTCGTTCGAGCATTTCGACTGATAATTGGCGAATGACATGCGTGATGTTTTGCTCCAAGACCTGAATCGAAGCGGGATTGTCCGCATAGACTATAAACTTTACATATCCCCGCAGGAAAAGTCTAACGGTAGGATATCATATCATTTTTCTTGGTGGCCAACCTACCAGCCCAAAACGTGAAATTATCTGCTCATCGAAGTGTGCTCTTAATATATCCATTGATGCGATGTGTGAGTAGTGGTGCCGTCTTCTTGAAAAAGTTGCCAAAAACACCAACTTCCACCAAGTCCACTGTGAAGGGCAGTCAGTGCATGTGTGAAGTTAGTTGCGTCGAAGTCTGGTTGGTATATTATCTTGTTGCACCTTGGAGGCGGTTCCGCTTCAAGCTTCAAGCAGGTGATTGCAGAGATGATGCCTACGAAAACAACCCAGCAGAGTGGAGCAAACAGGCCGCACTGTGTAACTGTTCGATAAGAGATATCAAAAGACATCTCGTTATATTCCGGAGTGCAGTATTTTGGCACGTCTGAAGCTTGCTCGTCTGCGTAGTAGACTGGCCGTCCGATTGCCTTGTAAGTGGCGAACAAAGTTTCTTTGTCTTTTCCCCAAGTGCTGCCGGCTAGCGTTAAAGTTAAATCTATACTCCTTCGTCCAGTTTGTGAATATGGTCGCTGTGGATTTAGTGGGGGAGAGGACGAATTTTCAAGTAGAAAATATTATTTTCTAACGTCATATTGTGTAATGCGATCGCAGTTATACAACGCGAGATTCAGATTACCAAAGCCGTTATTGGAAGAATAATGGATATCACTAATTTAAACTGAAATTAGTACGAGTATATAATCTCGGCAGTCTCATGTTAAAGTTCAAAAACGGGCACATTATTGAGGGGTAAAACCAACTTTTTTTTCTCAGTGTTACAAACATACGCTGTTAACAAAGAAATTCTGAAATTTTTGAAAAAAGATATCGGCCATTTTGACGCTATTTCCGTTGACTCCTCGGGAAAACTCCTTACAGAATCATCTAAAGTGAAAAAATACATGTTCAGTTGGTCAAATAGTGGTTAGAAAAATTCTTCGTCAAAGTTTTAGGAATTGTATCGCAAAGACCTATGTAAAATTTCATGAAGATCGGTTGAATAGTTCTCGAGAAATCTTGTCAATCGAATTCAAAAACACAGTTTTGTGAAAAACTCGCCTAGCACAAGTTCTCAGCAGTATCTCTGCAACTATTACTCGGATCAACTTGAGAATTTAGGAAAATATTCTAAAATTCGATTTTTTTAATCCCGTAAACCCATGTAACCCCTTAACTTGGTGTAATTTTTATTGCTCCTTACAGTATACAGACAGTGCCTTCAAAATTTGGAATTTCTCACATAAAAATGGTTGGTATGAGACTTTATCTTCTCAAGTTGGCTCTTATGGCTGACTTTTTATAAATAATATCGGCCAATTTGCGATTACCACTTTCTGGGCCAGTGGGTTTTTGAAAATTCGCTTAAAAATAGTTAGAAGTTGAGCAATTTTTATATCTTAAAGTCAGTAAAAGTTCGCGACTTTTTATTGTGACCGCTCAAATGTGTGAAGCGCCATCAATCAGAGCAATATATTTTTACGCGGCGCACACATTTTGTCGCACTTCGACACAATTTTGGCCTTTTTTCGTATTTAAGTTGCAAATAAATGGAACAACCATGGCTGCACAATTACATTTGCAGTTGAGTGCGCTCACAATGGACCGACTGCACACGCACACACATTCCGTTGATCACTTTGGTTAGGTCCTCCGCTTCTTCCATTTGCGCTCACTCGGCACTGTGTCCCAGAAAAAATTCAATAAATAACACAAACTAAACAATTCATTTATTTATTCAACCATTTTTCCTCTCTACTGTAAATAAATATTTGACAACATTTTTCGCTTTTGTACACTTCTACACACTCTTTTCGTTTGTATATATGTATGCAACATGCACTTCACACGCGACCACTGCCCACTCGTGCCGCAACCGGTGCTGCCCTCGATGGAATGACGACACCTTTTGGCGCACTGGACCGGCGCTGGTCGTCAACGTGCCACATCCATAACATAACATGACATTGCAATGAAAACTGCAATTCTGCAACAATAACAACAACGTTGACAAAAATGAAAAAACGGCAATAAAATGTGAAAAATGCCGAAAAATGGCGAAAAATGTCCAACAACAGGCAAATAGAGCTTTTAAAAGATTTGGTGGTGGCATGCTTGCTGAGGGACTACACGGCCAACAATAACGACAACGGCAGCGGCGGTGGCGGTGGCGACGAAGGTAGCAGCAGCAGCGTTGCTGACATTGTTGAAGTGGCCAAAGCTGCTTCTGGTCAGCCACACTTAAGCGCGGCGTCAGAACAAAGCGCCATGGCAGAGCAGAGGCAAAGAGCGGACAAGATGTGGAGGGCGACGGAAGAAAGTAGCGTGATGCCAGCACACCTAACAGATGGTGGCCGAGGGGCGACGGTGCCGGCAGCACGAGTGGCTTCTAGAGGGGCGCCAACTCCGCACCATCCACGGACCAAGACGACGACAAGGACTGACACTGTTGCACTGGAGACAGCTTCGCAAGCACAAATCACCGAAGTGGAAACGCTGTGCTTACCGGCAAATTGTGTGCTGCAAAAAATTTTGCATCTGCAATTGTTGGCCAAGGTGAGGAAACCTTCACGTTAAGTGTATGCAAATGTGCGACTGTGTGTGTGTGTAACTTTATTTAAATGTCCTTTTGTTGTGTGTGTTTGGTTGGCGGCCGCGTCGGTGAAGCAGCGCGACAACATGGCTAACCGGTCTGGGATTTACACAGAACGAGTTGGTGATTTTTCAGCAAACCGAGAAATAAAAACAATGTGGGAAAGGTGAAAAGCAAAATAAAATTAAAAATGCTACCGAAATGAAGTCCAACAATAAAACCGACAACGCTCGCCGAATAAGAGACGAAAATATAAATTAAAATTAAAATGCGACATTGTATGTGAACAGTTTAACAGTTAACACAGGTCGGCATTAGGGGTATGACCTCTCAGTAAAGAGAATAGAAGTAAACCAAAAGCCACCGGCGCCTTTAACGTCCCAATCCTTTTGATGTCGAATACTCGCTGTTAGACCAAAGTGTGGAGAATTTCTTTAAGGCTACCTAACAGAGCAATTTACAACCTCTGGAACGTAGGAGCCCCTTATGCAGTTAATGGGTTTGTCCGGAAAGTAATAGAACTGATTTTCTCACGCCGCGACTGTAGTTCGGAGCGAGCGCGCACCGAATGGATTCGGTAGATGGTGTTCCTAGCTAACGAACGACCAGCAGGTCAGTGTGTTTTGGTGGCACCAGGCCTTGTTCTAAAGGCCCGGAAGAGGTCGCTGAAGAAGAAAAAGAGGAAGGATGAGCAAAAACTGAGAACTACTTTTAGGATGGTCATACCCCAACAATGTCGACTTGTTTACGTGCGTTGATCGCAAAACGGCAAACTGCCACTCAAGTGGTTGGCCGAAAAGTGTGCAGCTAGTAATTTCCACTTGGATGCCGGCCAAGGTAATGGGAAATGAAAAGCCGCCACCACGACCAAATAAAACAAATGCTGGCACACGCTTACCCTTGGACATGTGTGTGTCGGGAAGTAATTGTCAGTACAGTCAGCTTATTCGGCGCTTTGGCACTGCCCGCGTTTGTTTGGACGGCTTGTCAGCTTCGTCTTCACGCGGTCGGTGGTCAGTGGACGATTGTTGGCTGGCTGCCGTCGCCTTTGTTTAAGTTATATTTAAGAATGTCGTCAATACTTCCTTTTGCTTTCAAGCGACATTTTTATCGCATTTCTCACTCAATCCATCTTCCGTTCTCTTCAACTTCGCCGCGCTGGCATTCCGCAGCTCCACATGCCCACACTGCATGCGGCCGGTTATGCGCGTAAGTCGGAAAAATCATACAACGCCTTAAAAGCCTTGTTGCAACGTTCATGCCAGCAACAAATTGGAGATGCATTGCAGCCCGTGGAAGCATACATGCTGGGCGCCACCGCGCTGGACTGCTCGATAATGGTGGCGTTTCAGGAAATATCCACGCACAATACAGAGCACGCGCATCCACGCTCGCAGTAAGTAGAATGATAATCTTATGCAGCTGCCACCGCGTAATTAATGACATATTTAATTCACTTTTTCTTTTTTTTTTTGCTCGCTTCTTTCAGTGAAATGACAACTATGGCTGCGCTGTCGAGGTATTGCGTCGGCTTGCCGCGCTATAAAAGGACCTTCCTCACCAAAGTCACGCTGGTCGACCTGGATCCGAAGCCTGATAGTCACTTGTGTAAATACATTAAACAGACGTCTCAAGCCCTCAACTTATTTATGGATAGCAGTTCCTGATGGCTCGCTTGTGTGCCTTGGCGCGTGTGTGTGTGCTCACAAGGCGAAAGAGTCGGTAAAAGCCTTGAAAAGGAAATACGGCATAACATTAACGCTCCGGAATATAAATAAAAATATGTAAATACATCTCTCTTTTTTGTTAATATATGCTTCGTAATAAATGCAGTCTTAAATTAAAAAATGCACTCAGTCTCAATGTGAAGTCTTTCTTGCGTGTGTATATACAGTGAAACCTCATTTCAATATCCTATTCATATATATTATACTAAATAGGTAGGTTTAAATTCCTTGAATTAGTGCTGAAAAGATTCTGGATTAAAGCTCACGGCAACTGGCAAGCGATCTGTCAGGCCAGATGTTTGAAAGTTTTTGGTTATGCGTCATAGAACTCGTAATAACTCTGATAAAAAACCGAGCAAACAGTCGCTACAATATTCCTACAGATGGGATAAATAAGATGGGTAGGTCGTGCGACGTTTTCAATCCACTCTTGGAGAATATAAATCGAACTGCAGAACTAAAAAGAGAAGAGAAGAACTACTGCTGGTGTTCCCCGATATTGATATCATTGGCCTCAACAACCGCACCGTTAGTTCTACTTTCAGCAGATTGGATAAGGAAGCGGAGCAAATCGGTCTGATAGTGAATGAGTATAAGACGAAATATCTCCTGCCATCAAACAAACAGTTTTATAAGTTCCCTTTCGACTTCATTTCTGGAAATTTTGTGGATTCCGACCCGAAAGCACTTCTCCGGCTTGGCGGTCAAGAATTCACTCTAATTCAAACTAATTTCTGAAGTAATTCCATTGAGAGCGTTTTGCATCGACTGGAGTCAGGGGAGGTAAGGTCTGGCCTATAAGGCAGGTGAGACAAAACTTAGCAGCCGCTCTTTTCCAATAAGTTTTAACCGGTCAGTTAACATAAGGCTGAGAGTTGTCATGATCGAAAAGTATTGTCTCCTTTAAAATCCTTAGAAATAGACTCCTTATGCGCTGATGCAGAGCTACTAGCGCAATTTCCAAGCATTGAAGGCATCACGGAAGGCATTCTCGGGAATAACCTTAAAAGCCGAAGTGCTTGCATCCCCTCTGTCGTCTCAAAATGCGTCTGAGCTTAAAACTTTGCGCGCACATTGTCGGTGTTTGTCGAAATCACAGGTCTCCCATCACGGTCTTCATCAGCGACCTCTTCCCGGCCCTACAAAAAGGCTTTTGGCCATCGATACACACCACTTCTAAAGGAATATCTGGATAAGCCTGCTTGATCATATCAAACGTCTCTGACGCAGATTTACCGAATTTCACACAGAATTTAATCGTGTACCTCTACTCTAACGAAACGCGTCGCGCAAAAATGTTTGTCCTGACTCTCCAGGTGCTCGGAGACTAATGATCAGTTGATCGTTCGTTAGCTAGGAACGCCCTCTACCGGATCCAGGTGCGCGCACGCTTCGAAGTACAGTGCAGGCGGAAGAAAATCAGTCCTTTTACTTTCCGGACAAACCCTGTATTCTGAAAAAAAACAAGGACATAGCTTTCGACGAATATTCGAAATATTGGAATATAGTTATAGACTAGTAACCCAGCCGGACCGTCACTATGGTCTCTACTTAAAATATTCTTTTATTCTGCTCCATAAAAGGTGGAATACGTTTTGAAGCACCGCGCTCTTAAAATGAATGTCAGCGATAAGAAACTACTGACTGGTAGCGTCTAGGCGCACCCTCAAGTAAAATAGGAAGCAAAGTAAATTCGCTTTGTATAAGAAATAAATAAAATATTTCACACTATGTTCAACACGAATTTTTAGTACCCTTAAAAGTACTATTCATTAATTAACATCAAAATGTGTAAAGACTGATTGTCATAAAATAGTGAAAGCTTCCGACCTTCGAGTTTGGTTTCACATTTTGACGAGCCAACTTTCACCTCTACTAAGTGGGATCAACAGAAAAAAACATTTGTTTCAATTACTGACTGAATGTAGGGTACAATACACATTTGCTAAAGCTAACCTGAAAAAAGAACACATGCACAACTTACACACCACAACCTGGCAGCAGGGCACTCCTTAATTAATTTACATGTGTCTGCTGAGCTAAAAAAAAGAGCATAAATAATATAAAAACCAAATGCCATGCAAAGTGTAAAGGTGCCAGGCCGTGCCCTGACAGAACACACCAGGAAGTGGAGCAACCAACAGACAACAGTCGCTCGTTTGCTGAAGAGTTCACGCGCGTGGAAAAATGCTGAGTTTGAAAAATGTTTAGAAACTTTTACCATTCAGTCAGGCAGTGGAAGTCAGCGTAGAAAGTTAAAATTGGACTGTTCGATTGTTGCGAGCTTCGAGATTTTGTTGGCTGAGTTCACTACATACACACACACACATTGAATTCGGAGGCTATAAAAAATCACTATGGGTAATAAAGTTGCCACATTCACAGAACAACAGTTGGATGACTACCAGGTGCAACTTTCTGAAATTGATAATAAATATTAGAAAGAGAAACTGTATATTTAACTTCTATTTTTTAATATCTGCTTGCCCACTGGAATGCGAAGGACTGCACATTTTTTACGCGGAAGGAAATTTTGCGGTGAGTTTGCTTGGTTTTGAAGAAAAAGTTAGTGGAAAGGTCTTTGCCGATACATCTGAGGTTAGCTTATCACTTTTATTTAAAGTTTGTACTTACCTCAAAAGGTGACCGAGAAAGTGGAGTTAGTGGAAGATGTAATACTATTCGCGAGTGGCGCAGATTCAGTCAATTCCACCCACAGTCGATTATGGAAACCTGCGACGAGTTCTTTTTCAACCAAGCTGTTGAGAAGTTGAGATTCTACTTTATATAGTGTAATAATTTTTATAGTGAATTATTTGAGTGAGATCATTTCATGAGGTACCAACTCAAGTAATTATCCAGATCTGCGGTCACAAATGTAAAAAAAAGTAATTATCAGGCGATAAGGGCAGCAGATTCAAAAATGAAACTTTGAAAAGTGATCAATATAGGAGCAAGCCCAGGGTCATCTGCAACTAGGGACGAAGAAAACCATTTTTAAATTGCTCAGTTAATAGGTCTGGCTAGTCTAATATACTAATGAGCCTCGCATAGACCAGTTTCGATCTTTAGCGATACCAGATGGAGTGCCGTTACGTGATCCATGAGGAGTACTCTTCTTTGAGATTGCTAGCGCTTGACCCGAACTTCAATAGGTACTGTGTACACACTAAAAATACGTCTTCCAGTGTCTCAAATATTAAGCGTTCTAGATGCTTTAATCATTGCTTTTCCAAGCGCATAAGCGATGCTTCATTGTTTCCCCCGTATCTTGCTCCTACCATTTCTGCAGTCTTCTCGATCTTTCAGTGCCATTCTGCATTTTTGGCCGAAATGCAAAACGAGGTTATTGCCTTGATTGCTGTTTGGCTGCACACGCAGATGTTAACTCAAGTATTTGCTCTAACGTAGTGAAAAGGAGTCTTCTTCATTGACGTAGACACCACTTTGCAGTTATAGCCGAGTTAAAACAGCGCGCCAGTCGTTTCTTCTTTTTGCAATTTTGCGCCAATTCAAGATACCAAGTGCAACCAGGTCCATCTCCAACTAAACTCTCAGCTCCGTTCACCTTCCTTGGTGTATGTATGTCAATCCTCTTTACACGGGTCTCTTCCAAGATTTGCTGCATGGTGAATATCTGGTCAGTTGTTGATTTTCCAGACCTACAGCCACACTGATAACATTCACTCAGTTTGTTTATTTGGTGATTTTAATCTTTCAGACAGTATGCTCGACAGAACCTTAAACGAGATGTTGAGGATCATTTGAATTCCAATCGTTCGGCATGCTGTCGTCCGAACATTTTCTGCAAAGAAGCTGATGCATGCTCCTTATCAGTTCTTTGCCACCGTGTTCGAATAACTCGACCGACAATACATTGGCCCGCCGCTTTGTTGTTCTTCAGACTGGTAATTGCAATTCGCACTTCATCATGGTCAACCATTAGAATGTTCGCTCCATCGTCATCAATTGGGGAATCGGGTTCACCATCTCCTGGTTATACTTTAACTGCCATTCAGAAGGCTGGAAAAGTATTCCTCCATAATTTTAGGATGCTCTTGGCAGCTAAATCATCTGTAAGACTAGTAGTATTGACAACTTACGGAAACGCGGAAAGAAATACTTTCTTGATACCTAAACGGAATAATTTCCGAAATGGGTCAATAATTAGGCCTTAAAATCGTTGATAAGGTCAGAGTATTACACAAATAGCCGCTTAAAGTCTTAAACTGAGTATTTCGAAGTGGCTTCACTAAAAGTTTTTCGTCGAACGGAATGTCTTCATGATGACAGAATTTAAATCCGGTACCGGTTGGTGGAGATTACTATTCGTCTATCAGTTTTGAAAGAAAAACGGGAACAGGGTTGCCCGGTGCGCCACTGCCAGCATGCAAAAATGAACTCAACAAATTCAGCCAAGAGTTTCAAGAATAGTGCCTTCTTAGACCTTGTTCTAATTATCACAAAACCTTCAAAGAAAACTTCTAGATTCAGGCTCAATTCTTCTTTATGATTCAGCTCCATAAACTGTCAGCTTTAAATTTAAAGAGATCACTTCTAAAAGGTTGTGGCAACTTGCAGCCTTGGCCGCTTACTTGCAACTCCTTCTATTACTCGATAAGGATAATTTCACACTGACCTCAGCCATTGACAGCGAACTGCGCTCATAATTTTCACATTCGCCATTGTTGTCGTTGCGTTTCATTGTGTGCCTTGCAACATTTCGAACAACTCCTTTGTTGTGCACATTCTCCTTGTGCGCTTTGTTGTTCGTGCGTTTTTATGCGCAACATTTTGCATGCATTTACGTTTCCGTGCCAGAAGTATCGCTTACATTCCCGAACATGCCATCATTATGGTCTTTAGCCGTGGCATGCTTATCGATTGCGTAGGCGAGGGCAACGGCGCAACAACACATTAAAGACGGCAACTTGAAAACTATTCGCCTGAAACGCAGAGCTGTGGACTAACGGAATGTTGCCAAAATCGGAATGTTTATTGGGGTGTATGAATATCCGCCAACTAATCCGTACATACGCTTTCTTTTCTTTTTTTTTTTTTTTTGATTTTTTGCGCCTGCCTTTTGTCATAGCGTTCACAAGCGTTTTCGTGAGCTGCGTCCGGATTTGGTGCCGCGCCAAATGACGGAGGGCCAGGCGTCCAGTGTCAAGGTGCCGTGCGAGTGCATTGAGAAGATGCCCGAACTGCGCGAGAACCCCTTCCGGCGGCGCATCTGTGAGGCCTTCTCGCGCGACGGCCAAGGCAATTTATCCTTCGAAGATTTCCTGGACGCATTGTCCGTGTTCAGCGAGCAGGCGCCAAGGGACATTAAAGTTTTTTATGCCTTCAAAATTTACGGTGAGTGTACGTGAAATTGCGCGCGCCTTTTGTGCGCTGCTGTCGTAGTTGTTGTTGTTGTTGCATTGTTGTTTATTGTTTATTGTTTACGTTTGTGGCTTTGTCGCGCTAATGGTTAATGCCTTTGTGCTTGCTTGCGAGCGTATGTGTGTGTGTGTGTGGCAGCGAATTCTGGACAACAAAAGAAGAGGTTTGCTGTTGTTGTTGTTGCCATTTCGGCGTATTTGGCTTAACCGCCATATTTGTGTTCGACCGTGCTTGCGGCCATTGTCTATCGCTTACACAGACATGCTTGCGCTTTTTTAAGCACATCTATATGCATGTATGTGTGTGTGTGACAGCTTTTGAGTCGCGCTGTTTATTGTCATTTGCATTTTTTGTCTAAAATTTGGTCACCACTACATGCTAACCCCACACGCTGTGCAGTCAAGTGGGCGCGACGCGTCAGATTTTGGCAGTCCGCCTCACACACACACACACACACACACACGCGCTTTATGGTTTTTCCGAGAATGTGTGTTTTTGACATTTGAATGCGCTTTGTTTCAAAGTCACAATTCACCGTTATTTTTTCTTTATTTTTGTGTTGCCGCTTTAGTTGCGTCTTTCGTGCGGCAACTTTATCACAATCACGACCAGCACTAATATTTACCGCTCTAATTTCTTTTTGCCTGTGTGTGATGCTTTGTAATAAACAGAAACACACACTCATGATTGCAATTGTGGATTTGTTTAGAACATGTGTAGGAAAGCACACACACTCACATATATACATATGTATGCTGGTATAAGCAATTTCCCTTTTGTCTGAGTTCAAGGATATTCTGCATATGCTTCAACTAAGAACACCTTGCGACACAGTTTTCCACCAACAACATAGAATTTAGCTTTCTAGCAAATATATGTTCAAGAACTTCAAGTTGTTTCTTTGTATATATATATATAGTAGAGCACCGCGTTCGCCATGGCGTATGATGAACAAATAAGTGTTCGAAAATTATAGAGTTTATGTAACCGGATTCAGATTAGAACCCAAAATCATGTATAATTTTTATTGTCTATTAAAAAAAAAAATTTCTAAGAAAGCTTCTTCTATCTCAAATCTGTCACAAGTATATATAAAAAATAAAGCCAATCTTATTCCTTGCCCTTTTGTTTCTCCCGATTGTTTTCTTTTTTCTTTCAACATAGGTTTGGTGAGTTATATGGATTAGCCCTAACAGGCCACGCAACTTTTATCACAGTAAAATGTACCATTAGACACACCATTAGATCAAATTTATTGCCTTCAAAATAAGCTTTTGAGTCAATAAAACCACATTAATGCTTACCGCGACTTCCCATATATAGTACTTATTATAAGCCTCAGCTGGAATGGACTTCAGCGAATGAACTAGAGTTTAGCATTGACACAATTTATACCTAAAACATTGAATAAAACGTGTTGAGTCGATTCATTAAAAAAGGGTGAGATCCTCTGCTATACCTATAAAATTCCTCAAAATACTTCTGTAACGTTTTCAACAATTCGATATGCGTTGGTAAATATCTTTCCATAGAAAAATCGCCAGATAAATTTTTCGTGTCGTGAACAAATAACTGCCAAATATGCACTGTTTGACAAGGTGCAAAAAAATCTGTTAAAGGATCAGTTTGAGTCAAATTTGACCTAGATTGTAGACATGTATACGTCGCACCCGAAAATTATAAATAAAACGCAAAACATTTAATTATTCATCAAAGTAGTCTCCACCAGATGTAATACACTTATGCCAATTGGTGAATATGGTGATTGATCGATGGTATTCATTGCGTTTTGGGCTTTAAATTCGGTCACAATTGTAGTTCGATGAGATGATGCATTATCATCATGTAAAATCCATGAATTGTTCTTCCGGAATTGCAGGCGTGTTGCAAATATTTTCTTACGCAATTTCCTCAATACGGCAACAATGAGCTTCACCTTGATTTTTGACCGGCTTTGGCGTGTTTTTTCTCCCACCATTCCGATGATTGTTGCCTTGTTTCCATGCCAAACTCACCTCGTTTGAAGAAAATTCACCATTATCGGGACGGATCGAGCAATACATTGTGTTTCACACCCAAAATATCCATCAAAATCATTTGAACGGACTCGCGAGAGATTTCGAGTTGTCTTGCATTTCATTAATTTACAAAAAAAAATCATATCAGTTGAAATTTGTTGAACAGTGTTGCATGACATGGAGCTGTGCCCATAACATTTGTGCTCTTGCATATATTCAGTTACGAGCATTCAGTTGGTCATTCTGAGGACTATAAAAGAAAATAATATCTTTTGTAACAAGTGCACTCGCTTCTTTTTCAGTGTCCTTTTCTGCTTTACGTGTATATTCCGAAGCAAGTGTTGTTGTAGTGAGTTGAATTGGAATGAAAAATATACTAGTTGCGTTGCAAATTCATAAGACAATCTGTGTCGCTAGAATAAATATTTCATTGCAAAACAAAGTGCAAGTGAATTCGAAAACAAAAGTTATGCGAACGCACACAGTTGCATTCCGGAGCGTGTGGCAACATATTTGTGCCGTGCAACCAAGTTGTGTTTTGCATATTTCAGAGATTTTAAAGATTAAATAGTTACTTAGTTTTAGCAGAGATTTCTGCTAGTCTTTTGCTTTTAAATATTGTTTGCAGATTTTTTGTTACAAATTTAAAATGAACTATTTGAGGTTAGCATGTTTTGGGAGTGTTCGAGAAAAAGCGCAACAAAATGTACAGTTTGTAAATATTGGAACAAAAAGAAATGTATTTGAGCTCTTTAAAAAGATTAAATACCGAAATTAGTCGCAGTTTCTTTATTGATATGATTGCGGGAAATATAAGTGGTTATTGTTGTAGAGGCAGTGAACATTTCTAAACTAATTTCGAGGCATGGTGCCGAATTGACAGTCCCACGCCTTTTAAAAATCTGAGTCCGTTCCGGTTGCTTAGACCTGACTGTCGTGGGTACGGTTGGTAGGTAGGTAGAAGTGCTGCCATCATGGGCTTAATGGCAGGAAGAGCCATTTTGATGCACCGTCGTAGGACCCTATGACCCTGCTATTCCATTTCTTCATTGCGTTCAAACGAATTGGTGTTCAAAATGCTACTATTTATAGCCCTTAAGCATCTTGTGGACAACCATTCAATATTTGGTGCTTGATGGGTTCCAAGTATTTTATGTCGGCTCGGTGATAGAACTGTTGTTGGCCATATTTAGCGGGCCCGTTGTAGAAGCTGTAGGTCTGTATATACCAGCTTGAACACCAACAACAACGTCAGCCTTCAAATCCATTATCTTCGCTCGACGAACACAGACCAAATTCTACAAGTCGCTCATTATTCCCGTCCTGCAGATAACAATATTTGCTGAGTCGACGTTGCGAGTTCTGCGAAAGATTTATGGTCCTTTGCGCTTTGGCAACTTCGAATGCCGCAGTCGATGGGAGCATGAGCTTCATGACGACATTGACATAGCTCAGCGACTTAAGAAACAGCGTAGCCGGCAAGGTCGTGTGGTCCGAATGGATGAAAACACTCCAGCTCTAAAAGTATTTCCCGCCGGAAGAGGCAGAGTAAGAGGAAGACCTCCACCTCCAGTAGTTTACCAGTACTTTTTCTGAGTGTGCCTTTTAAATAATATTCAGAAAAATGCCTGCATCCTGGACTAAATTCCACCGCTCGCTCTCCAAAAACAAATATGCCCCTTTTAAAGTGGAATAACCAACATAAAGATGAATGTGATATATAAAAAAATTTCGATTTTACGTTAAATTAACTTTCGATGAGCGGCTTCTTTACTAATAGTTTCCAAAATGTTAAAGTTCCGAAAACCGACAACTATTGAAACCATAAAAATCACAATTTGAATTTATATTTAAAATATTAACACCCCCAAATCACTCAAAATTTTTTTAAACTTCCCATTCCATCCATTTTTAGCTCAACTCTACTTTAGTTAGCCCCATTCTTCTCTCTCAACTCCTTCGCCATCGAAATTTCATTGAAGCATTTAGCAGATCGGAAGCAACAAATTATTTATGCAGCTTGCTAAAAGCAATCAGTTTGGGATTTGTTTTGTTGTTTTGTTTTGTTTTAATCTGCTTATGCACTGATGGTATCTATGTATAAGTGAAATTGGAATTTTCAATTTCCTCTTGTAATCACACCGTAAATAAATGCCGACAGAATCTATGCATTTTTAATATTAAACGCCTAAAACAATATGCAGCAAAGCACAGTCAAACATTTTTACGGACTTATCGAACAAAAGCCACAATTAAATGGAAATCAAAGTCGACAACTCACACATCGATAATGCCGGCAGACTCTAGCATAATGGCTTAAGCTGAAGGGAAGTTAAAAGCTCGAATGCATATTTCCCTATGTATATTTGTTGGTTTGAATGTTCATTATGTAGTAATAATAAATTTTATTATTTTGGTGTCTGCGTGTCTACGTTTGTGTGCAGGTGTTTGAAGAATATATTCACTCTCATATTTGCGTAGATTTTGAGAGTCTTGTAAGTACAATTTGTACTTAAATCTTTTCTGAGCTTCGATCGGCAAAATCAGTAATTCTTTTGTCAACGCCAAGTTGAGTTCCTTGTTGTAATTTATTGCCTATTATCTCAAATATAGATGGGAATTAGTGACAGAGGCTACCGGTGATAAATTCCTTGTACCCAAGTTGGATTCCTTTATAGGTTTTTCATAAGAAGTGTATATTTTCCTATTTAGTTCAGTCTTCCTTTGGTAATAAAAAAAAAATTATATTTTAGACTTATTAGTGTATATTTTCCTATTTAGTTTAGTCTTCCTTTGGTAATAAAAAAAAAATTATATTTTAGACTTAGCTCAATAAACATAGTAAGTTGTGTTAAATATGTTACAATATAGACATTGAAAAGGCGTGCGTTCATAACTGCTGTGTTATAGAAATTATATGTGATGAAAAATATATACAGATTATCGCAGTTCAGAAACCGGAAAGTTCACTTTAATCGAGCCCTGCACCAAATAAGCATGGCAAGTTGATACCCTCGAGCCAGAAATGCATCATTATCACTAGAAAACAATACACATATTAAAATCACATAAATATCTACTTTAGATTTTCGATTTTAAGTACATTTAACATATAATTGCACTTTATTTAGACTAGTCTGAAAGTAGTAACATCAGCACCAGTTCGAAAATGCACATGTCAACATTTAGAGTTACCAAAGAATTTTACATTTTTTCTTTTAGGTACATTTAACAAACAATCTCATTTTATACCGACTAGTCGGAAACTAGTGACATCAGGACCATTCAAAAAATGCATATGTAAGGATTTAGAATTACCAAACAAGTAATTAAAATAATTTTTTCAAATGTTCCAAGCAAAGAGATTGCCGCTTGCAGACTTGAAGAACATGAAAACTTCCAAGTGTCTTTGTAATTTATTGCGAAAATTATTCGATTTCCTCAATGTGATGTCGTGCATTTCGAAAGTGTCTGTGTTGATTTTAGTTCACATATAACAGACATACATACATATAAGCCTCTGTGTCTATTATATGCACATAAACCCATTTGTTTGTATTTTCCATAAGTTATTAGTGTCTTATAAAATATGCATATTAAGCGGTAATGCAATTAAATAAAATTGAATAAACTTCCCTAAGACATACCCAAACGACGAATGCATGCAACGATATGCGCCTAGATGAAGAATACACTTCAACAGTGCAGTGTTGGTGCGAGAGCTGAGTGCATGCGCCGAGCAATAAAATTTCATTGCTGCAGGTAATCACTACAAATTGTAATGCATTATAGGGCCAGAAATGAAGAAAATTTTAATGAAAACGACGTTGCAGCTTCAATGTGCCACTTTCCGCCTGTGCCGCACGGCACTCGTGCAGCAAAGCAAATTGCTTTGACTACCAAAACCCCACAGGTCGATGAGGCGCTATGAGACCTACATACCTAAACGCAACACACACAAACACACGCATGCTATCACCATCATCTTGTGCTATCACACGCCAAATGGCATACACACACACTCATTCATGCTTTGTACTGTAAATTAGACACATGTATGTATGTCTGTATGGATGTGTGTATGTACGTGTCTGTGTCGTTGCTTGTTGTTACACATTGGCATTTGCATGCACGTCCTGCTCGGCTGTTAAGCCCCTCACTACTTAACTGCACTCCTAAGCAAACACACACCCATGTCCAAACATATGTATATCTAGGCTTACAGACATACATAAGTAGGTGCATGTATAGCTCCACATTTAACTGAGCACAATTTAACCTGTTTGTTCGTTCAATTCCACTCTCTACTGTCGTCAACAGATTTTGATCAGGATGGCTTCATTGGTCACGGCGACCTCATGTCTTGCCTCACCACCATGACGAGGAACGAGCTGAGTCCGGAGGAGCATCAACAGATTGCCGATAAGGTAATGGAGGAGGCGGACGTGGACGGTGATGGGAAATTGTCATTTCTAGAATTCGAGCATGTCATACTGCGTGCCCCGGACTTTCTCTCCACCTTTCGCATACGCATCTAATGTACCATGCCATACTAATATGCAGATATGACTCTGATAGGCTTTTTTTTTGTTTTTCTACAAATACAAATAAACAAAATCACATAAATGTGTATATAATTTGCATACGTGTTGTTTGTATTGCAATTTTCAGCATGCTGAGCATTTATATATACATATGTATGTATGTAGAAAAAGATAAAACTTTATGTGTCGATGCTCTCAATTGAATTTGAGCACAATATGTGGAATTTCGGATTGAATGATTGACTTCGATTGGAAATGCAATTGCTTAGGTGATATTTATGAGGGATTTCAATATGCAGATAAGAACAAGAGCGTAAAACACATGCATATGCTCATTTAATTTATTATGAAAATGTGTTTATTTACACATGAATCAATACTTCGGAGACGGCTTGACGCCGGTAGAAGATTTAATTTAACTGAAGTTGTTTTTGGAATGAGCGCAATAGTCTTGAGAAGCAACCCTCAGCAGCTATTGTATGAATTTAAATATTATTAAAGTAAATAATAAATAAATAATTAATAATTTAAATATTAACAAACACGATTCATAAATAAAGGAACGGAACATTCGACTCACTTAAGAAACTGATGATAATGACTCTACATTAATCGCACCAGTGCCTCTGAAATTAAAACATATTAGAATTTTAGAAAAGCCCCATATTAAAGGCTGCAAACCCAGATCGATCCCCATAAATAATGCTCAGATATAAAACAATAACCTTCACGACCGACTACGAATAGTTGTTTCCGATTGGACATACTTTTATAAAAGGTTCATTAATTTTATAAAAATTCTTACTGAGGCACTTGAGGAATTCTGATTCATGTGCTCAACAAATCTGAGATGTTTTCAAGAAGATACACTGTTATGAGTAAAACACACTTTGAAAGTAAGATAATTCAAATATTGGCCGATATATGCAGCTTAAAGTACCCGGAAGTTCAAAAATCGGTATATGTTCGGTATATGGGAGCTCAGGGATGTATTGACTCGATTTTTGATATACATAGTTGCCATTGTCAGGAAAGTATTCTCTCCAAATATCAATTATATTCGATTTCGTCCATGACATATGAAAATGAGAAGAATGCCGCCTTCGAGATTTAAAATAAATAATAGAGCCCCCTCATATCATCTCGGAGGTAATATTTAATATCTCTGGTGTAATTAGTTATCGATTTATGGCGCTTTTAGTTGTTGTTGTTTTGTTTTAGCGGACACCTGGACCCATTTGGATGGTAAGGATTTGCTATGTTGTCGTCAACTTCATCAAACGGGGGCCCAAGGAACGTGCTGTTTTGACGGGCTTGGACCAAAGAGAGAGGGGTGTCAGATGAGTGACGTTGGGGGCATGCAAAGAGGTGGCCAGTGTCATACGGAGACATATTGCACGCAGGACATATATTGGATATGCTGCGGTCTATTCTGGTTAAGTAGGAGTTTAACCTGCTACAGTATCCAGAACGAAGCTGCGCAAGGGTCACTCTCGCTTTTCGCGACAACTTGAGCTCTTTGCCTGCGGTGTGTGGTGGTTTGACTCCGACTACGCCATTCACTGGAAGGGAGTCAGTGAAGGTGTTGATGAAATCTGGTCGGCGTACTGTCTAATGTTGTCAACGTAGTTGAGGAATGAGCTCAAGGCGGATCCGCTCGAAGCAGGTGACCATAGGGGTGATTTCTGCGAAAGCAGATAGGAGACATCGAGAGGCATCCAGTCGTAGTCCGGAGTTAAGTATCCTTGCAAGTCTGAAGCTTCCTCGTCTGCGTTCCACTGCAAAGGTTATCTTCCGTCTTGATCCATTTTCAAACTGTGCTAGGTAAATTTAATTTTTGCACTTTAAGTGGCTTAGAAGATATGAACAGAACTTTTTAGAGGGCGTGACTACGCTCACTTTTCAACGTTTTTGCTCACAGGTAACTTTTGCTATAGCGATCCGCTGTACCAAATAAGGGTTTGATGTCTTAATTTAGTGCATAGTTATGGCACTCTATGATATTTATTTTTACTAAGGAAAGCGCATCCCAAGTTTCATCAAGATATCTGAATTTTTACTCAAGTTGCAACTTACACGAACGGACAATCACCCGGATAGGTGAACAAAACTATTATACTCTGCAGCAACGTGTTGCAAGCGTCTAAAAATATTCCTCACCGCAAAACATCTTTCTTCATGGGTCCTTTTGAAGATCGGCTGCTGAAAAAAGGTATTCCTTTTCATATTTTTTATTCAAATGCTGTTTATACTACTCGTCAAATCTGAGCTAAAACTTTGCGATTGATGTTCTTACAGGTCGGTGGGTATTTGAGATGTCCCAATTACCAATTTGAGTTCATAAATTCTCCATCACGTATAGCTATTTTTGTGATTTTAATAAATGGCGATGGTGTGACCCCTACAGCTCTTGAGAACAACACAAACAAATCGTAGGAAAGTTTTACTCTCATTTTCAGCTTTAGCAACCCAAAATTAGTTAGAAACATTTTGTAAATATAAATTTTTTGTTATGGGTTTTGATAAAATGCGTCTAAAAAAGTTCAAAAAACAGCTTTTTCTCATTTTAGTTGTTTTATGTTGGTTTTTTCGTGAATGAAATTAATTACATACATAGTATATGGGATTTAGGGAAAGTTAAGTAAATAAGGTAAACTCCGCAATAGAACGTGGATAATATGAATCGATTTTGATCGGAAACACTACTGACACAAGTGTTGTTGTCACACCGATTTTCTCAGCATCGATTCAATCCTAATCCCTAAATCCAATTCCTTAATTTCTAAGTGTTGCAAGCAATAGACCATGTATTATACTCAGTGTGGGATGCTATCACAGTACTCTCTCACGGCAAATATGTGATCATTACTCTTACAACTCTATTATTATGGTTTTAGCGATAATCTTTCAAAGTGCATAATGAACGTGACTCAATCATAGTGGAGACATTAATTCGATTTCTTAATTTAAGCGTGTGCTCATGTGCATACACAATAATAATAATAAAAAGGTTTTAATTATTAATCCATAAGTACGCATTTATTTATTTACAAGTACATATTCTTAATTCTCCTCACACATTACTGTTATACATATGCTATTATTTTTCATTCATTTAATTTAATAATTTGTTTATGATTTTTTGTTTTTGTTCTAATTTAAGCAGCAATGCAATATTTAGTTATTGTATAGAGTTTACATTTATCCGTAGCTATCTTAAATATTAAAGTATACGTATGCATTAAAGCCTATTACAATAGTATCTCCCTCCGATTAGCACATGTAAGTATGTATCTTTAATGCTGTTTTATTTTAACATTCTTTAAGACAACTGAAGCAAAGTGGATGAGCGTGCGCTCGAAAGAATTTTAGATGGCGTGGTATACTAATGATCATAAGCGTGGATATGGGAAGAAGAAAGATGGATATGGGAAGAAGAAATGAAAAACACAAACTAATTAAGAAAATTATAAAAGTCTGAGACAAATTTTACAAAAAAGATAAATCATTAAATTTTGAAAGCAACAAGGAAGGCTTTATACTAAAATAAAAAATAATTACATTATATAATAACCATTTTTATTTTATATAGTAAAAGTATAAACTTTTGGCAACACTATGTAATATTTGTAATATTGAAAAAAGTGAATATTCTGACCTGCAGCCAGAAATTCTGTGATAAGCTACACTTTCTTTCTACGAATAATATTCATTTTATCTTGTCTTCCAATTTTTTCAGTTTAATCAATCAAATATCTCAACATAAAACAAACATAAACCATGATTGGATGATCTCTTAAGTAACACGCACATCCCAACTTTCTTACCCGAACGCACACTCTTGTCCCACTGTACAGCATTTGTTTACACCTAAGTCGAAGCTTTATGTTTATGGGCAAATAGTAGATACATCAATTTAAAATGTTCACAAAGGCAAACATTTGTAAAAATGTGTATTCGTGTGTGAAATAGGTTTATCTGGGCAATAACAACATATTTATTGTTGTTGTTTTTTCTTGCATAATTTTTCCTTACAAAGTGTGTAGTGGCCAGAAAGATTAAATTAAATTAATTTAAAGTATTATTGCACAAAAAGAAGCAGAGTTTGGCTTACATTTTTTGAAATACACACACAAGCAAATAACTGCAATATTTCCAAAGCCGAATGACACCAAAACTGTGACAAAATTATTGAATAAATTACACTATACAATACTCGACCTGCTATTGGAACACAACAATATTTCCAAGAGCTGGATTTCTAATAAAATAAGTTAACCAAATTCGACATTTTCTTTCGAATTTCTAAATATTTTTTCGAATTTCAAAATTTGACTAATGGAGAACATTTTTATTAGTTATAGTTACTAAAAAAATTATACAAATTATTTTTGTTTTCGTTTTTCGAAGTTAGCCAAATTCGAAATATTTTTTCGAAATTTAATTAATGGAAAAAAGTTTATTAGTTATAGTTACCATGGAAAAAAGTATTTTTATGCGTTTTTCGAAGTTGGTCGATTTCGAAATTTTTTCTTTGGAATTCGAAATTTGACTTATAGGGAAAAGTTTATTACGTACAGTTATCAAGGAAAAAGTATTTTCGTTTTTCGGAGCTAGCCAATTTCGAAATATTGTTTTGTTGTTTTTTTTGAAGTTCGAAGTTTGACTTATTGGAAATATTTTATTTATTATAGTTAAAAAAAAAAAATAAGAATATAAGCAGAATCCGCTTATTTAATCCGCAAAGTTAACTGGTTAACAGATTTTCGGACAATTTTATAGAACAGAAACAATCGGACATTCGAAAACATAAAAAATTGGAAAAATTTTCGTTTACAGCATAGTTAATATATGTATGTAAACAAATTCGGATCTTGCTATTACAATTAAAAATTTTATATTTTAAAAATACTGACTGGACTTTGAAACTTTATAACACCTGTCAATGTCCTGACCGAAAAATATTATACAGCCTTCAAATGAGAGGAAAACGTGGATAATGCCCATATTTTTTCTTACTCAGGACTAACTATATATATGTACATAATTAATAATAAATCTTCAATTAACTTCATATCAAAACTATTCAAATTGTGGAGACTAACTTCGAATAACGCACAAAAAATTTGTTTTTATTTTTGAGACTAACTTCGAATAAAGAGAAATTACTTTCTTAGAACTTCACCTGTTGAAAAAATTGTTTCAGTCCAATAGCCACAAAAAAGTCGTTTTGTTATTTGCAGATTCAAATAATTATTTTTTCCAAATTTCTCAAAGAAAATTTCATAAGCTCATATTATGCTGACATTGAATAATATTTCCTTCGTATACTTCGTGCATAGTCGTGTAACTTTGTATATAGAATTATGTTTGTCCCTTTTCAGAAGCTTTTGTTTTGTTTTGTTCCGCTCGGCTTTTTATTGTGATTTTTTATTTATATGTGAATTTAATTAACATTTACTTAGCACCTAATTATGTAATAACTTACTTGGGAACATGTATATAGATATATGTAAATATAGTCACTAAGTTTAAATTTAATTTGATAATTTATAATTACTCGTTCACTGCTCTTCATTTCGTATACATTTGTTCTTTTACATTTTATAGTCTTTAATTGCGTTTTTTAATTCGTTAAGTATATGCTTAAGTAGAGTATGACACTTTTAAACAAAACCCAAATTTTTATATACACTTTAATTTTTAAATATTTTTTGCAACAAATTTTTAGTTTCAATTATCGAAACTGACAGCTGATACAGTGACTCAGAAGTTTACACGGGTGTAGCGTTAAATTGAAAATGGATTTGGTAAAATTGCTTATTTTCCTATCTAACTTTTTAGCTCTGAAAAGTTTTATTTCATTTTAAATCTTTGAATAAGAATTTTAGCAATCAACTTTTGCGTCACTGTATATAAGATACTGGGGTTGTATGTAGCAATGTTTTCAACTATTACAGGAAGTTATTTATTTTAAAGACAAAACATTTTCACAGATAGTAAATAAAAACAAAGGTGTGTGCGAAAAACTATTGACTTTCGAACTTAAAAACGCTTGTCTCTTTAAAATACCAAAAAAAAAAAAATAATCAAAAAATCACTGTTTCAGTTAAGTATTGGTCAATACCTCTGCTACCTCCGTCCTTTCACAATTTCAGTATATTTTCGTTTCTGTGTATATATTTTAATCTAGTACTTACATACAAACAATTTAAGTCATAATACAGTGCATACAAGTTTATTTGTTTTTGAATCTTAATTTTAAAATTGCATTATGCTTGCAGTTCACTTTTTACGTATACTTCGTTCGGTTCTTTGCTAGGCTCTGTGTAAACTTTTCAACAAAAAATATAACTTCACCACAGCCCTTACAGTCACTGTACTCTGCTGCGCGCCCAGTGGCTGCCGAACTGCTGTGCGTTTCAACTTTCTTCTATTCCATCACGTAACCGTCATCCTCAACCGGGTTGTTGTTTTAATATCACCACCCTTGCGCCATACCACCATTGCCATCAACATCCGCTTTGGTCACATGCTAGAACTCATGATTCCCACAACTGGGAAAACCGTAATCCGAAAAGCTTTCAAAGCTCTTCAACAAATTTCAGTAGACCGAATTGTGATGTTCGTAGTTGTTGTGAGCGGCTGCCGCGTGATGCAAATACGATGGAATCGCCGATGTGGCGTTTAGTTCGGAAGCGCGGCGCCGCAAGGCGGCTATACTGTGTCCTCGCCAGACATCTTCTTCGCCGACATTGCCGCCATCTGATGGCGATTGCATGGATTGGTGGCAATGTGGCACCATGTGGGAGCCACCATTATTTGCCGTATGTTCTTGATGTTGTGGCTGGGGTTGTTGTTGCTGCTGCTGTTGTTGTTGTGGTGGTGGCTGTTGATGGTGGTGATTTTGTTGGTGGGCTTGTTGCTGTTGCTGCTGCTGTTGTTGCTGTTGCGGCGTTGGTGGTTGTTGCTGATGATGTGGTGGACCACCCTGTGAAGAAGGAGTTCAAAAGTTAGTGTAGTGAAATTGATAACGTCATGTTGAAAGTGGTGAGTTTAGTTGATGCACAAACCAGTCAAAATACATATGTCCTGTAGACACTTATACAGCAAATATCCTACACTTTCACCATACAAGGACATTTGTGTGATTGCTCAACTTAAACTCACCACATTCACCTCGAGCACAACATTCATCCCCTATTATACACACCATTTGGTCGCCATTCATGTCGTTTGGCCCCGCGTTCGGCTGATTCGACAGTGGCGGTGTGACCGATGAGCACGAATTGATGTTCGGAGGCGTGGTCGTGGTGGGCGAGCCGCTGGCGCCGCAGCTAACGCCACCAACCGTGTGCTGATACATCATCGAATCACCTGAAAAGCGAACAAAAGAGTTAATCGAGAATTCCTTACGCAAACATGGACATTTTCACGCTTGTGCTGCGTCTTCTCGAAATATACAATCAAATAAAAGAATAAATACGTAATTCAAAAGAAAATACTCTAGAGACATAAGAAAATCGTGGACTCGTCTCCAAATTTTCAATTAGCGCTGGAATGCGAAAGCAAACAGCAACCAAACTGTCGCCAAGCTACTAAGCAAACACAAGGGTCTATGGGTATGTGTCACCTAAGTCTACAACAGTTCGGGCAATGTCGGGGGCATTGTTTGCACCCTTCCATTTTTCCATTTTGTCAACAGAGAATTGTTGCTAACTGTAAAGGCAAATAATTGAATTCATCACTGGTGGAAAAAATAATTTTGTTGTAATTCTTTTTCATCGATTTTTGGAGCAAATCAAAATGAGTAAAATCGTGTCTAATCAATTCTCTGGAAACTGGTTTACTTACAAAAGATTTGTCAAATTTGTTAATTTGTGAAAAAACTCAATAGAAGAGTTGTGTTCTGCTGCAGGTACAAGAACAACAGGATGATACTTTGCGACATCGCCGATTTGCATTTATTTATTTTTCTTTGAGATAAGTCTATTAGAAACGATTAAAGTGATGAATGGAAAATTTGTGGCCTTGTGGAGACCAGCACAATGGCAGATTGGAGGCCATGTGCACACACTTCTATTAATTGAATAAATACAAAATTAACAATAAATCCATTTGCAATAACGAGTATGTCATTTGTTTGTTCACTATGAATGAGAAAAGGCATAAATTTCCTGACCGAAATCGGTAAAGTAGCTCAATAGTTATTGCAAAGTATTTTTACGTGCCCCCAACAGCCAGATTTCGAAACCGGAAAGATACAGCCGAATTGTTGTCGAGCCGATGACTTTATTTGGAGAGCTGGTCGCTCAAATAACAAAAACACTTAATCGCTAAAAATTGTTATTTCTATAAAGAAGGGTCTATAAATAAATTATCAGTGTAGAATCGGGGACACGGTCCAGGCCTTGCCTCCACTCTTAAGAAAATATGGTCGACATTCTATCAATTTTAGCTGCGCTTAGTTAAAACATAACAATATGACTTTTAGTAAAGCAAGGACCGTTACACCAAGTACCACCGATAATCTTGGTTGATGGAGGTCTTGTTGTTGTCTAAATCAGCATATTAATGAATTTCTCACCTCCTCAATTTGCCCTCACGCTCCGATAAAAGATGCAGGTGAACCAGTGAAAGTTTCCATTTATGAGTTTTATGAGTAAGAGAACCCCATAGATATCTAAAAATACCGCTTGATAAAAATCACGTTCAGAAGGTGAAGGCATTATCATTGGTGCGACTGCTGCTGTACTCAGTTGCCGCTCAAAAGTTTCCTACAACGAGCTAACACAGTACCTCGACATAAGGAAATGTATTGTAGCTCAAAGCATTATAAAATGTTATAAGGAAATCATACATCTAGTTTCTTGAATAATCACACTATTGGAATGCCGAATATCCATTCGATCCACAGATTCGCTACAGGACTTTGGCGCTTATTCTCTGAGAGAAAACTAACTGGTTAGCCAGGGTATTGCTCTTTTCTTAATTGAAAGAAAAAGCGTAGTGTACAGACTAATGTGGTACCACCGTTAAGTTTGGAAAAAGCGATCTTTGGTCGGTGTCAACCTGAACTCTAAAGGAACTTGAAGACTTTACAAACTCGAAAAAACGATTAATAGTTATTCGATTGTAAAAAGTAGATTAAGAGAAAAGGTTCAGGTATAGGGAGTTCACTTAAACAGCTTAGATCTGTTGTGGCGCCTGAAACGCCTATATAATTGATCAGAGGGTCGTTTGATCGACCGACAAATTTGTGGGAAAAATTAATGTCAGTTTAGCCGAAGGTGAGAAAATCGATATGTTTCAACCTAAAATATGCAAAAGCTGGGCAATGAAGAAGAAAGTACTTGGATATTTCTATCTCACACTTTTCCATGTAAGTTTGACAACTTAAAAAAAAGGTCTACAATATAGCGAAAATGATATTATAGGGTAGTCGAAAAAGCATTTTCGTATATTTTCGTCGTGCTACCAGTGCTACCAATCACATTGCATTATACCATATAGTGCTGGAAAGGTGAGATATTAAGCTTTATTTAACCAAAAACAAATAAACTCGGTGAAGCTGAAATAGGCTACAACTGAAAGTAATGAAAAAATTCGCTATATTTTGAAAATTTAAAAGGGAAGAATGCCACGCAAGCCACCAATAATTTGTGAAGTTCATGGAGACGATGAAAAAGATGCACCTCGCTCTGGTCGACCTAACGTTGAAAAAGTCGTTGAAATTATAGAAAATATTGACCTGGAACATCACACAAGCAGCCATGACATCGCTCTGGAACTTAAGATTCTTTATCAGACGGTTTTGGACCACTTGAAAAAGGCTGGCTACAAAAATAAGCTCGATGTTTGGATACCACATGGATTTTCTATGAAATTTAATCGACCGAATTAATATCTGTGATTATTTGCTGAAACGAAATGAAATCGAATCATTTCCGAAGCGAATGGTAACAGGAGGCGAAAAGTGGATCAAAGATGACAATAATGTACGAAAAAGATTATGATCCAAGCGTTCATTATAAATATAAAAAAAAACTTTACGTTTGATTAGAAATACAAAAAGATTTTTTCGACTAGCTTATATGACCCGAATTGTGCCAGAAGTTTGGTTTCTTTTTTTCCATGATAGATCAGCATCATTATACCACGGTTTTCAAAAAGTGAAGGCTTGTGCGATATTTCTTACAGTATTAACCGAAAATATGACTCGAAACGGGCTTTGGACCTTTAATCTCTCAGGCAAAGTTGTTCAAAATGATTCATAGAGTATTCCCCGCATATGCGATTTTATAAATAAGTGGACCAGCTCTAATGCACTTATAGTTTGGAAAAATTTCGAAGAATATGAGGTCGATCTTTTAAAACGAATCACTGATCATTGAAGCACATTAAATTCTTTAAATACATATTATTTTTATATATTTATTAAATAAGATGAGTCTTCAAAAAAATCACTAAAAAACGTGTTCCTGACTTGCAAGTGGAGATGACCCCCTTGAAAACGAGAGTATTACTATTTTCTTTACAAGGTATTAATTATATTTGAGGAGGATGAACAATAAATCCTGGTAACTTAAAATCATAAAAAATGTAAAAAAAAAAATTTAAAACACGAAAACAAATTTTTAAGTTTTTCCTATGTAATTTAGAGGCAAACACAATTTCTTTACAAACATTCATTTTTAAGAAATTTATTTTGTTAGAATCGTATTATCAAGAGCTATTAGTTTTACATTATAATTCTAACACCCCTATTCTGTGCACTTGAAAATTTCAATGGATTTATAATTTGTCAAAATTTGGAATTTATCAAGCATTTTGCATTATTCTGCGACTGAAATAAAAAGCTCTTTTCCTTACAAGTTGTGAAGATGTCAAATGCTCTTTACAGTGCTCGTTATGAAGTAAATATCTGTTTGTGCATCTTATTCTGGATTGGAAGATATTTTACTTCTGTTATTATTGTTAAACGACATTTAAATATATGTGGCTTATACCAGAAATGTGTAGGTAACAACGTCAACTTGACTCAAGTCAGTCGTCCCTTTCGAGAAGGGAAGGTGAAGGGAGGAGAAATAAAGTTTCCCAGTTCAACAGAGGAAGAAACTTTAATAAGAACGTGGCGGGTGTTATTGTAATACAAATAATAGCGGGAACAGTGGAGAACGCTACTGTCTTCCTTCCTTTTCCTTCCTCATCGGCAAAATGTGTGAGCAGTGAAAAACGTGGCAAAAACGCAGATATCAGCCACCTTTGTTTGTTTTCATTTGAACAATGTTGCCATTGCTCAATACGCATATATATTTTTTTACACATCTGTGTTTTCAATTACAATTTTTTATAATATAAAATGCTAAAACTGAAAACAAACTATTAAAAATAGTTTATGTATTTATAAATAATATCATTCGACTCTGATTTGGAGTTATTTTAAGAAAATTTCAAACATATTGAACAGATTGAATTATAAAACTTGATAATTACTACAGTATATAGATATTGGCAACCCTGCGTTGTGAGAGAGCAATCAGCTGACACGTTTCTACGGCAAAAATCCAAATGCCGTGAATTCTCACGTCATCCTACGTCAAAAAGAGAAGGGAGTAGCGTTTTTCACTGTGCACGTACATTGAGCGCCCATAAGATAGATCGTATCAGCTGACACGGGCCACGATTCTGCGTTCTCCCCTGTTCCTGCTATAATTATTATATTATTCAAACTAATTTATTTGAAATATATGCCAAAATTTTTAGAAAATTTGGAATAAAAAGCACCATAGGAGCAATTGAGTGCACTCATGTTGCAATCAATATAATCTGAATAGAAATCAGCTGTTTCTATTTATACTATTTTGTTCACCACTCGTGTGAGGAAAAGCTTTGTGAATTGAAGACTTTACTTTTATCAAGATTAACAGTGCACTAAAATGCAAATATATTACAAACTAAAAATTGTTAGTTAGGAAATTTTAGTTAGAATTGAAATAATTTATTTAATAAGTTTGTGGTTATTCTACATATATCATATACACGTACCTAAAGCGTTTAGTCCATAATGCTGATAGCTGCCAGCACCCATTGCGGAACCAATGTTAATACCCGAATTAAGACCACTATTTATTGTAGATGAGAGCGGCGAAGATTGATTTAGTTGACCAAAACCTTCGATTTGTTACGGTAATATTTGCAGGATTAGTAGAGAGAGTAGAGGATGAATATTGTTACAAAAGCATAAATAGGAGAAAAAAAGAAAAAGAAAAGAATAAGCGGGTTAGTTCTTCGTTAGATTGACTATTAGAAGCTGTAATTTATAGGTATTAAGACAGATTGCTACTTTCACAGCAGCATGTTTATGGCTTGAATTCAAATTTAATTTACGCTCTATTAAAGTAAATGCAATTCCTCTATTAATCTACTTTTCTACGGTCCTCAGTATGTATTGTATGTTGGAAGAACTCACCTGCAGTCATCGGATTTACGCCCACGCCCCAGCGATCACCGCCGAACATGCCGGTACCGCAGAGGCCCTCGCCCATGGCAATGTTGGTGATGTTGGCGCCGAAGGGCGGCAGTCCGTGTGATGGCAGCAGCGCGCCCGGCGTGCGGAAGACATTTGTGGTCTTCTTGCGCTTCTTCCACTTGGCGCGCCGGTTTTGAAACCAAACCTGCAAAAAATTTAAACAATAATTTCATGCAAATTTCTAATCAAATTAAATTTTCTGGAGAAGTCAGTTAAGGAATGTCCGGCATGAGAGCTATGCAAGTGGACTAGTGCGCAAATAATCAAACGTAAATACATGAGTGCATACATAACATGTAACGAACATATGTCTGCTCGCACACACGCACATATGTACATATGTAAGTGGCACACAGCGCCGTTGTTGAACAAGCTGAGAAAACACAACTTTAATCAAGATCAATTACCGGCTTCAACATGACCAACGCAGCAACTACCGCAACATATTTTACAATAAATAACCGCCACACTTGTAGCGACATAGTTTGCACAAACACACGCGCCCACACGCGCCCACACGCGCCCACACACGCACACACACATACACGGTTGTATGCAAATTCGCCTAACCACATAATATTCATAAACCCAACCACTTGGAGTCGTCGCTCAATCAATATTTTGAATAAACACTGCTGACCACCGACACACTTGAACATAAATATACATACAAATGTGCATACTTTACATACACATATATATATTTAGCAGATAGTTACATCGAAGCAAGAGATTGGGCAATAATTTGTAAGCCTTCGAAGCGAACACACAACCAAGGAAACAAGCAATTATATGTTGACTTGTATGAATATATATACATATGTATATGTATGTTTCGATGCGTGTCGGTGTGTACCTTTGATATGTGTGGACATGTCCAATCAAAGGAGTCAAAGGAGGAGCACTTATTGCAGAGAAAGCGACAGCTCGACAAACGCACAAAGGTAAGTGACGCTTCACTTCTTAAACTTCCCAAACCGTAGAGTCTTCCCCAGCAAAGCACACTGCTACAGCTATTAGATGCCGTCAAAAGTGAGACAATCCTTTACACGAAACATCCATATATACATACATATGTACATATATTGCTGCATATTTGCATATCTGGTTGATTTCGAAATTTCTGTAAAGGAAACAGGAGTCATGTCAAGTGTGGACATATTTCTATGATACAAATTTAAGTAGCGTCCGAAAAAGATTTAATCTATAAGAAGTTTGCTGTAAAATGATTTTTAAAACCTCTTTAGCGTGATGGTAAGGACATAGACATATCGTGAGCAAAGCTTTCTGTACATAAAATTTTAAACACAGACAATTTTTTGAATTTGATGTTTTAGTGAAAGCAAAAAACCTTGTCGTAATTTGGAGGAATACTGTTGAGTGGTTACTCTTGGACCGAATAGAAATCCGCACCTGTTTGTCTTTACCATTGTATAACAATTTCTAGTTTTTGTGGCAAACAATTCTCTCTATTTCCGTAGGTTGATCGCTTCAGCTGCTAATAATGTGCAGATTAAATAGTCTTCATTTTAAAAATTGCATCTCTTCAGAGTAAATTTCTATCAGTTCTCTAATTCGGTGTTGAAAATACTCATGGAAATAACAATACTTACATTGTCCAACTTTACAGTAAATCCCACCCACTTCATATTTCCAAAATCAAGTGATATCTAGCAAAGTCCTCTCTCGACGAACAAAAACCGAACTTTATAAATTACTCATAATTCTCGTCCTGCCATACGGTGCAGAAGCTTGGACGATGACAACAACTGATGAGTCGACGTTGCGAGTTTTCGAGAGAAAAATTCTGCGAAACATTTATGGTCCTTTGCGCGTTGGCCACGGCGAATATTGCATTCGATGGAACGATGAGCTGTATGAGATATATGACGATATTGACATAGTTCAGCGAATTAAAAGACAGCGGCTACGCTGGCTAGGTCATGTTGTCCGAAAGTATTCGACGCTGTACCCGCCGGGGGAAGCAGAGGAAGAGGAAGACTCCACTCCATTGGAAGGACCAAGTGGAGAAGGATCTGGCTACGCTTGCGATATCCATCGAAACATATTTTTCAATACTTACACTTATGGCGTAATAAAGGTTCCATCAACAATAATGACGTTGGGAGACGCTCTACATTCTTCTACCTCCTCCCATCTTTTTTTCAATACTGCTTCATCAAGAACTATACATAATTTGATTTTGGATCTGATACACTGAACTTGGTATGTAACCTCCAAATAATATAAGAATCCTACTACGGGGAGCTACGAGATTAGACTTTTGGATTGATTTAGTACCCAATCTTGAATCTGCGAAATGAGAATCTCGCAGCAGCCAGAGCTCAGAATAGATTAACCTTCCTGTAGAGCCAAAAGTTATGTATGAACTCCAAGTTTCGAAAGAGGATATACTATATGTAGCACTGATTGAAAACCCGAAATCCATTGTTCAAGGTAGAAGTCTTCGCAAAATAAAGAAGTAAATTTCCCAGATAAATATTATTTGAAAAAGATGTATTTTGCTAGTTTATTGCAGCAGCTACTTAAGCCGATACACCTCAGGAGTGCGTTGCGATTTTTGCAATGGATAAAATATCGAGTAAATTTGTTTAAAATTTTGTATTTCTAACCAAATTTTGTTGCGGAATTCTTGGAAAAGGCTAACGGTGATTTAGTTTTATCAAAAATACAAGTCTACTAGTGATACAAAGCCTTCAAAGACAGTCGAGAGATCGTTGAAGACAGGCCTCTGTCTGGACGACCTTCCACCTCTTCAACTGATGAAAATATTAAAAAAGTGAAGGAAATTATGCTTGAAAATCGTCAGACACGACAAGAGAGCTTGGCATCTCTCACAATGATAAATTATTTTGATGGATATTAGTAAGAAACGCGCGTTTGCTCGTCACGTTCCGATAAGGATGAATTTTTTCAAACCGTAAACAGGTCTCTTTGGACATGCTTGATCATGCGAATTCCGATCCCATATTCATGGAGATCATTATAACTGCCGATAAGGCTTACGAGTTTAACATGTAAGCAAGTCAACAATCATCGGAATGCAGGGAAAAAACGAGCTGAAACCAAAAAACACACCAAAGCCGCTCAAAAATTAAGGTGATGTCTTTGGTTTATTTTTTATTTTTTTATTTTATTTTATTTTTTGATAGGAGGGATAGAAGATTAATAATTAGTTCAATTTGACGGTATTGAGGCATTTGCGTGAGACTATCTGTCAAAAACGGTCCGAATTGTGAACGGACAATTCATGGATTAAAATGATGATAATGCCCCATCGCATCGAGCCACGATTGGGATCGAATTTAAAGCTAAAAACGCAATGAATACCATTGATCAAGCACCGTATTCACCAAATTTGGCTCCGTGTGGTTTTTTCTTGTTCCCGAAACTCAAATTGGCGCTCCGTGGAACCCGTTTTCTGTCGATTGACAAGATAAAATAAAATTCGCTGAAGAAGCTGAAAAAATTCTTGTGAAAAGTGTTTCGAGGACTGACTACTTTGTAGGCGACAAAATAAATATTGATGAATCATAAAAAAATTTAAATAATACTTTGTACTTTCACAATATGTAATATGGTTATTAAGAACGTGTGTGTATGTTTGCACATTCCGGTAAGATGCATCTTGTGTGTTTGCAGTGAAGCCTTGACGAATTCGTTTCGGAATTAAATTGAAATATTTTCCAATTATTCTCCCACGAATACTTAACACTTATTCTATAAAAAATACTAATAACCAATTTGTTACACCTACATATAAACAAAAAAATTTAAATAAGTTAAAGTAAATTTGAAGTTTGGAAAGAAAATGATTGTAAACGGTTTGAGTTGGTTCTTATCTTTAACTCAGTCATATATGCTTAAGAGAAATATTTTGTAACTCAAAGGTCTATGAGCTCGTTTTAAACAGTTTAAATTCTTTAACAAATATTGTAAATCCTTGAAACTTACTCACACCCTCTTTATTATTTTGCTTTTCAATATTTTATGACTTTGGCAATACACTCTCACTTCCGCAAACTTCACCGGAAGCAGCATCTACATCACTTTTGTTGACAACTTGGACAAGTTTTTCCAGTGTACTTTTTCATCAAACCTCAGGAAGCCGCAAGTAAGAGTCAAAAACGAAATGATTGAATCGGAAGAATGTGTTGGAATCAAGCGGCAAAGCAAAACTTACTTTTCGCCAAACAAAAGTCTTTAACAACGCCTTCTACAACAAAAACAAATGTGCAAATACAGCACACCAACAAAAAACACACCAAAATAGTATTTGGAACTGCAAGTGCAAAGTGACTTTACTTGTAACACTGATGTTTGGTCTCTGGAGAGTTTCGCTGTTTCGCTGTTTCGTTGTTTTGTCGAGACCATGTCGTTCCATCTGTCTTTATGTGTGAAGCTTCTCTGCCACCACAAAAACTAAACCAGCTGGTAGTTCGGTGGTGTGCTTAATAAACGAAGGATTTATGAATGGGTGTGTATTGGTTAATACATTTTTATAAACAGTAAATAGGAAGCGTTGCACAATTTTAGAACGTGTATGTGTTAGATATAAACAGAGGAGCAAACATCAACTATTCAAAAAGCTAAAAATATTATTTCATTAATTTCAAAACCGTTGAGAAATTTAACAGCTCAAATCTTAAAACATATTCTTCTATTTACCCATTCATAATATAAACGAAACCTTTAATATTTTTCATACACAGGTAGACACACACATACAAAGCTCCGTGTTTGCCACAAAAATGTGGCTGGTCATAACTGCTTTTGCGACCTTGACTTGTTTATGTATTCTTTTACGAGCGTGTCGAATGGCGAGAAATAGCATGCAATATTGGGTGTGTGTGTGTGTGCCTCAGTCTTTTATGCATGGAGGTTGTAGGTGTGCGTGTGGATGGTCCATTCATTTACTTTTAATTTAATAAATTAAGTTCACTCACACACACAAACAAGCAAGCAAACACTTTGGAGTAATCACGCACATATACTCATGCACACCTGCAGTGTGACTTGTAAAAAATGCTAAACGAAAATTGCCGAAAGCAGACCACAAACAAATATGCGGGCTTTTTAGCTAAGCAATTGAGCTTTGCATAGCATGCATTTAGGCGCATTTGG